TGTTTACGTATAACACCCAGTGCTCCATGCAGAACGTGCCCTTTTAAATCACCTTTACCTTGGTTTGATTTTGTGTTCCTCTTGTTTTTGTGGTTTGTTTTCCAGGTAGATTTTATACTATTGATTCACATTTTTTAATGGTTATAGGTCTGTTTGGTTTTCTATTTCTTCCTGAGTCAGTTTTGGTAAGTTATATTTTTTTTTCTATGAAAATTGTCTATTTTCTGTGAGTTTTCAATTTTGTTGGTATAATGTTCATGTTGCACTCTTCCTAGCTTTAAAATCTCTGTTACATGTGTAGTTTTGTTGTTTTTTCAATCCTAATGTTTGCTTGTGCTTTTCTTTCCCTTCATCAGTTCTGATATATAGAGCATTTTACTATTTTTCACTTCTAAATATTTTCCAACTTTACTTAGAATACTTCTGTGGACCATTGATTATTTAGATATCTGCCTTTTAATATCTTTAGTGTAGTATTTACTTATTTATTTGGTTCTTTCTAGTTTTATTTTACTGGAGTGTGGGTCTGTTTGATATCAGTTTTTTCTGGCGTTTGTCAAGATTTGCTTTTGCTTTATAACAGGCTAGTTTTTATAATGTTACTTGTTTGTTTGAAAATAATACATTCTTTTAAATTTCTGGATGCAGGTTATTATGTGGGTCCATAAGATTGAAGTTGTTAATTTGTTCAAATTTTTTATATTCTTACCAGTTTTATTTCTTTCTGCTATATCATCTATTATTTTAAAAGTCTTACTATGATACTGAATATATTAATTTTTCCTTGTAATCATCAATGTTTTCACAACCCTTTTGTAGCTACGTTGTTAGGTATATTATTCAGAATTGCTATTCCAGGGTATTTTCTTTTACAATTATGTTAATGAATTTTTAAAAATCTTAATAATGATTTTGCCTTTAGTGTCTATTTTAGCTGATAGAAATATAGCTACCATAATTTTCTTTTAACATCTGCCTGATGTATCTTTTCCATCCTTTTACTTTTAACCTTTCTGTGTCCTATGTTTAGGTATATCCCTTTTAAACAGATTATTGCTAATTTTTAAAAATATTTGTTCATTTTGGTTTTATTTGTCATCCAGTGTGATGACGCTGTCTTGTAATAGGTAAATTTAATCCATTTATAAATTTCATGATGATCAATATATTTATATTTATTCTTAGTATCTGATCTTGTGCTATTTACTGTAGCTTTTGCTTGTTTGTTTGCATGCATGCTTCCCCCCCCTCCTTCCTGCCTGCTGTTTATTTGGTCAAGTGTAGTTTAATTTCTCTTTTTATTTAATGTCTTTGGAAGCTATACATTCTATTTCAATTATTTTAATGTTTATCTTTAAATTTTTAACACTTAAGGTTTACCTAAAGTCTAGAGTCAGTTTCTCCACTATATTCCTTAGCCAAACAAGAAACTCAGTTTATCTTATACCATATACAAAAATTAACGAAAAACTAATCCAAGATCTGAATATAAGAGCTAAAACTATAAAACTCATAGAAGAAAACATAGGGGAACGCTTTATAACATTGGACTTAGCAATGATTTCTTGGATTTGACACCAAACAACAGGCAACAAAAGGAAAAATAGACAAATAGGACTACACCACCTTTAAAAATTTCTGTGCATTGGAGGACACAGTCATCTTAGTGAAAAGGCAACCGATGGAATGGGAGAAAATAGTTGCAAATCATATGTCTGATTAGGGGCTAACTATCCAGAATATGTGTTAATATGATTACCTACGACTCAGTAACAGAGCAATTCAAAATGCGCAAAATACTTGAATAGACATTTCTCTGAAGAAGATATACAAATGGCCAACAAGCTCAATGTCCGTAGTCATTAGGGAAATGCAAATCAAAGATACTACCTCACTCACACCCATTAAGTAGCTACTGTTAAAAAAATTTTAAAAATCCCACAATAAAACAGAAAATAATTGTTGGTGAAGATGTGAAAAAATTGGAACACTTGTGCTCTGTTGGTGGGAATGTAAAGTGTAAAATGCTGTAGCCACTCTGAAAAACAGTATGGCAGTTCTTCAGAAAATTAAAAATAGAATTATTGTATGATCCAGCAATTCTACTTCTGGGTATATAATATGCTTCACAGAATTGAAAGTAGTGACTCAAAGAGATATTTGTACACCCACATTCATAGTATCCACAATATCCAAGAGATTTAAGTAACCAAAGTGTCCATCAGCAGTTGGATGAATAAAGAAAATGTGGTATTTACATGTAATGGAATATTATTCAGTCTTAAAAAGAAGGAAATTTTAACACGTGACACAACATGGATAAGCCTTGAAAATGTTAAGTGATTTAAGCCAGACACGAAATGTCAAATATTGTATGATTTCATGGCTCTGAGGCACCTGGGGTAGTCAGACTCAGAGAGAAAGTACAGTGGTAGTTGTCAGGGCCCAGGATGGGGCAGGGGGTGGGCAGGGGGCAGTTAGTGCTTAATGGATGCAGAGTTTCAGTTTTGCAAGATGAAAAGAGTTCTGGAGAGGGATAGTGGTGATGGTTGCACCACAGCATGAATGTGCTTCATGCCCTTGGAGTGTATGCTTGGAAATGGTTATAATGGTAAATTTTGTGCTATGGGTATTTTACCACAAGTAAAAATAATAATTAAAAAGTAAATTAAAAATAAAGATGAGAAAATAAGAAACTTCAACCACTTGAATCCTAATTGTTCTCTTGGTAACATGTTACTGTTTTCTGGTATTTTAGTTCCATCTGATTTTTCAATCTTTAAATAGTTGTCCCTCCTCCTCTGCTACCTCTCTTTCTCCTTCTCTTTTTCCTACTCCTCGTCCTCTTCCTCCTTGTCATTATTTTATCCAATTAATGACTATGTAAAAGTTTACTAATACCTTTGTTCACAATTGCTTCTACTATCACATTCTTCCGTGTGCATTAAATTTCTTGTTTCCTGAGGTGCGTCCTTATGTTTATCTGAAAGAGTCTCTACATGGAAAATCATTCACTCTTTGTGTGAAAATGTCTATATTTAACCCTCATTTGTGTGTCATATTTAGGTGACAATTATTTTGTCTTTCACTTTGAAGATACAATTCCATTTTCTTCTGACTGCTGTGTCAGTACTAATAATTCAGCTGTCAGTCTAATTGCCGTGCCTAGGTAGGCAACCTCTTTATATTCTTTACTGTTTTGAAGATCTCTGTGCCTTTGGTACTCTGCAGTTCAACTGCGGTGTGTACAGAAGTGGATCTGGGTTTTATTTATCTTTTCATATCTTTTACCTATTCGCTTTTTTTTTTATTTTAAGAATTAGCTTTTTGGGTTTTTTCCCCCCATTTCTAGGACTTCATTTCATTTTATAAATCTTTCTTTTCTTATGATTTCACTTTTTAAATCATCTCTAATCATTTTAAACATACTTATTTCGTGAAGTAGAATTGATCATTGTTAGGGGTCTAATTATATTGCTTCAATTTCTGACTTTTTTTTGTAATGGACTGTTTCCTCATTTAGTTTGTATTTTTGGATTGTGAGCTCATCTTCAGTGGGCTATTATGTGTGAGAATTATACGTGCTCAGGTTTGATCATGTGTCCTATAAAAGACTGAATTTTGAATAGTAGTAGTTTCGAATTTGTTATGCCAGGTTTTTGGGGTGCACCTCGCCTGGTGCCAGTATTTTTGCCAATTCCTTGGCCTGAGGACTTCTGGACCACAGAAGCACTATGATTTAGAATATCCACTGCTGGGACTATGTGGCTGAAAGTGATGAATTTTAGGAGGAGCAATTTTTTTGTTCACATTTCAGCCACAATCAATATAGATAAAATATCTTTCTCTGAGTGGCATATTTTTATAATTCACCTTTTCGCTTACCCTCTAGAGTAAAGGCTATTATATGGGGTGGTTTCTTGCTTCAAACTTCATATAAGCTGGGGGCTGTCCTCTTGTCCTCATGGATATATTAAAATCCAAGTACGTGGAAAATGAAAACCAATATTCCCCAGCCCCATTCCTGCTCTAACAAGTATCACCCTGGTTCTCAAACATTTGATTACCAGCCCCTAAGAATTTCTTTTTTCTCTAAGAGCCCATTTATATGTTTACAAAAATGGTTGTTATATTTTATCTAGTATTTTTAAGAGTTTGAGGTACACGAGTTTCAAGTTACCTTATCTCAGTATTATCAAAGAGGAAGTCTATTCTAATGATTACTAAGAATATTTTTTTCTAGAAAATCCAGAATATTAACATCATTCTACCTTGAGAATGTTCTTTTTTGATATGCTTCTTTAAAACATACAAAGAAACAATTTTATTTTACCTCAGAGTACCTTGTAAGATGTGTGTGTGCCCAGGATCATTTTTAGTGATTATTTTCTTATTTAGCTCTAACTTGCCGTAATTATATGTCCAACTATTTTCCTCTACTGGGACTTTATTTTTTGAAGAATATGTTTCAAACCCCTTTGTAATTTTTAAAATTAATAAGTAGTTTGCAGTACATTGTTAATATTGATTTCCTTAGGTTTGAATTAAGGTGTTTTAAAATAATTTTCAGGTCGCTAATAAGTATTGGCCTGTTTTTTTTCAGGCTATATTTTCCTTTGACAAATTGCAGAATTTTCTTAGTTCCATTATTTATATGAATGTGTTGGTTAGTAATATCAATAATAAGGATGTTCTGTACTAAATACTCAGTTTGTTTTTAATGGCTGTGGTGTTCAAATCATTTTGTTACCTTAAATGTAGACAGTGAAGTACCAGCAATAATAAAGATTCTATAGTATTATGAAATCTGGAGGACTACTAGTGTGGAGATTATATACAATTTAACTTATATGTACAAGGAGGCTAAATTCAGGTAATGACAAAGTTGTAGTTTTGAAATAATGTCTGTTGTATATGTGAGTAAGTGTAAATATTTTTAATTAAAAATTGTTAATTGTTTCTAATGTAATAGATTACTAAAAATGTGTGAACTTCTTCAGGTCCAGTCCTCAGTGGCTGTTGGAACTCCAGATTATATCTCTCCTGAAATCCTTCAAGCCATGGAAGATGGGAAAGGGAGATATGGGCCTGAATGTGACTGGTGGTCTCTAGGGGTCTGTATGTATGAAATGCTTTATGGAGAAACACCATTTTATGCAGAATCTCTGGTGGAGACGTATGGAAAAATCATGAATCATAAAGTTAGTATGTTTTACTATTTTTCAATTGAATGTGGTAAATGATACATACAATAAATTTAAAGTAATGTGATAGGTAAAGAATTTTTTTTTAAAAACAACATTCTAATTCCTATGCTAATAGGGGACCTGACAAAAGTGAATAATCAAAATCCATAAATTGTACATGAAATTATGAGTTCTTACCTTCTCCTGTATTTTATTAGCAATGCTAATAAATAGGAAATTAAATGGTCTCTCCAGTAGAATAACAAAATTGGTAAGCAGATAATTTATATCCTTACTACTGTAAGTGTACTCATGACTAGAATGCATTTAAAAAATCCTCACCCTGGGGCACCTGGGTGGCTCAGTCGTTAAGCTTCTGCCTTCGGCTCAGGTCATGATCCCAGAGTCCTGGGATCAAGTCCTGCATCGGGCTCCCTGCTCAGCGGGGAGTCTGCTTTTCCCTCTCCCACTCCCCCGTGCTTGTGTTCCCTCTCTCGCTGTCTCTTTCTCTCTGTCAAATAAATAGATAAAAATCTTAAAAAAATTAAAAAATTCTCATCCTTAGCCATAATAAATGAAATGCAAATCAAAATAAAACTGAGATATTCCTTTTCCCCTGGGCAAAGATGAAAAGAAAAATTACACTGTACTGTAAATAATCCAGTGAGATGGACATTGTTAGACATTGTTGATAGGAATATAAATTGATGTAATCTTTCTGTCAACAAGTCTGTAAGTACGCATCTAGAGCCTTAAAAATGGTTAGAACTTTGGATTGAGCAACTTCAGTTTTAGGAATCTGCCCTAAGGAAATATTCAGTCGAATCAAGATGTTTGTACAAGGATATTCCAGTCTTCTTTACCATCAAAACAGTGAAAACAATCCAGAATCACCACAGAAACAAATTAATAGAGCCTTAATCCATTTAGTTCCCAGTGAAATAGAAATAAATTGTAATAAACAGAGGAAGGTTCTGATTGATTGGTTTCAGAAGATTGTGAGCAGTTGCAAACACCTGGAATGGGAATGTCCCATAAAAGGGGGTGATACCATTATGATCAGTTGCTTCACGAATATATTAACTAGTTGATGCTCTTGTGTGGAGTTGGTGCTCTTCTGCCTGGCTGCAAGGATAATCTAACTAGTTATGGAGAATCGGAAGACAGGGAATAGCCAGCTACTGAGTTGTAAAGACCACATGTAGCATTTCAGAGAGATCGTTGTCTGTGACGTGGTGGCTCAGAGCACGGATTGTAGAGTCAGGCCGCTCTTCCAAAATCCCAGCTCTCCTGTTTACTAGTTGTGTGACTGGGAGCAACTGGCTTGAACTCCCTGGGCCTTTGGGTCTCTTCTATAAAATCAGGATAATAGTGGCACTTGCCTTTGAGGATTACTGTGAGGATTATAGGCATTAAGTGAATAAAGTGTTTCCACGAGTGCCAAGTGCATGGTCCGTTCTTTACAGGTGTTTGCTGTTGTTACTTAATGCTTAGTTTGTGGCGTATATGAACATCGTCAGTCATAGACACTCTACTGAAATGTTGAGTCAGATTCTCCTTTTAATAAGTTCCCTTTCTTTTGACAGCAGTTTAAGGTATTTTAGCATTTAATTTATTCTTTCTACAGTGCATGTGTAACTAAGTCGTGTAAAATTAAAAGTTCTTTTAGGTAAATGCTCTTTTTTTCTTGTAATATGAGTACTCTGCACTAGTGTACACTTATTGCACATTTTTAAAATGCATTTTTAAGAAAATAAATGTTAATCAACCTATTTAGGGAGTTAAATACTGATTTATATTTTGTTTCTATTGTTCTTTGTCTAGGAGAGGTTTCAGTTTCCAGCTCAAGTGACTGATGTGTCTGAAAATGCTAAGGATCTTATTCGAAGGCTCATTTGCAGCAGAGAACACCGACTTGGTCAAAATGGGATAGAAGACTTTAAGAAACACCCATTTTTCAATGGAATTGATTGGGATAATATTCAAAACTGTGAAGCACCTTATATTCCAGAAGTTAGTAGCCCAACAGATACATCGAATTTTGATGTGGATGATGATTGTTTAAAGAATTCTGTAAGTATGACATTGCGAAGAAGTTCTGTCCCTCTCTTTTTAATGTGGTTATGAAGCAATTGTATGGACCTTATCAATTACCAGTCAGACAGTTATCATGGCTTCTAGTATTTATTCTCTCATATATTGAGAAGTTAAGAGAGTTCACTGAGGTGAACATGTTTATTCATGACAAGGAGCAAAATTAAACTTCACGTGTTGACTAATGAGATGAGTTACGCCGTGAGGTTTCCTAGGACAAAGAGAAGTTAGATGTTTAAAAAAGTGGACTTTGATGGCAGAGTAAAGAGGTTGGCAAATCTCTCCTTAAAAGGCTCCATGATACTGGACAGAATTGTCAAAAACAACCATTTTGGGGCTTGACCACTCAACGCAAGGGAAGTAAATCAAGAAGCATTTATTCATGAGAAACTGTGGTTAAAAACTGCCCCCACCCCATTCCATGGGCCTGGTTGGGGCCGTGGCACTGCTGGCAGGAGACTGACTTGATCTGGAGAGCTCCCCATGCCCAGTGGTGTTGCCACTAAAAGTAGCAAACTTGGTAGGAAGTGAAGGGCACGGGGGGGAATCTACAGCCTTGCTATCCTGAGGTTGTAGCCTCCCTTGAGGCGGGTGGCAGACCAGCAGAGTCGCCAAACACTGGACCACTTTTAGCTTGTGGGCCGGCATAGTTCGTCAACCCTTGCTCTACACCTTTAGGTTACATTGTTACAATTTAGGACAGTAAGAACAAAATTTTACGGAGGTTGCCTTTTTAGCCTTCTTAATTTGAACTTTTTAAAATCCCATTATTTTATTTCTTATGGTTTTAATTCTGCACTAAGAATTTGTATATTGATTTTCTATCACTTTTCACTGTTCAGGAGGTAGCATGGGCAAGGCAGGTAAGGACTTCTTATGCTTCCCTCTCTGGGCCTCCAAGAAAAAATTAAATGGACTTTCCTCATCAGTGTTTTATCGTAAGAATTACATTTTACTGTAAACAGAAATTTGCGTCATTCCAAATTAAATACGTAGTACAGTCGATTCTGATTATGGTAGTTATATGTTCCATAAAGTTTCTGTGTATGCTGTATTCATGAATATTGAACTCGGGGAAATTTCTTAGGGGAAATTCAGGGTTAGGTTCTTCTGAACCTCTGGTCATTTCATTCAACCAGTCGGTACATAACCTTGTTTTATGTATGTTTCTTTTTAAAGACACCTTATTGAATATATATTGTTGATTAACAGCAAGTTCACAGCCAACAGCAGTGTAACTCAGGCCTGAGCAAAGCTTCTCTAACACACATACGTATTTGTAAGGCACATCACAGCCATCTTGCTTGGAAACCATTTAGATGGCCCTTCTGCACTATGGTTGGAGGACATTTTAAACAACACAGTCGCCCATAAAAAGCAGAAAAACGTGAAAGACGTGGCACATGCAGACCTTGGAAGGAATACTTCTTTGTCGTATCAGAGCTGAAACAAGAAGGCAGAGCGTCTCCTTGTTCAGTCTCAGCTGGAAACTTAGGCACTGAGCAGCTCAAATTTTTTTTTTTTTACTCTACCTATGTCTGCGAGTGATTGCAGAAGTACTATGAATATTGATTTGGGTTACAAATAATTTTTAGCGACGAGGCAAATCTGCACATATGCATACCTGAATAATCACTGTGCTCTCAATGTCAGACTTTCCACCTGGAGTTTAATTTTATTAGAATATTACAGTGGCAGTGTTCATTGTCTGGATTCTAGATCACTGTGCATCTGCACCACACTTCATTGAACAGCCATGTATTTCCTATTGATAGTAAATATTATAGGCCAACCTACAGGTCACAGTTATTTATTTCTTACCAGATGTTCTTTCCTCCTTCAGGAAACGATGCCCCCACCCACACATACTGCATTTTCTGGGCACCATCTGCCATTTGTTGGTTTCACATACACTAGTAGCTGGTAAGTTGGAAAAGTTAACATAATTTGGACAACTTAAAGCAAATTAAGATGAATTGAAGTTTTAAAAAAATATATGAGAGAGCCTTATAAGTCAAAAAAATTTAAAATAGAGGCTGAAGCTACTGCTGGAAAAAGTTAGATGTTCTGTTAACGAATAGAAAATAGAATCTTAAGTCATTTTGGAGAGAAATAGAGCTCAGAGTCTTCCTCTCAGCACTGGGGCAGGGGTTGGAAGAGTCCCTTGCGTTTGAGCAAATACGCTCCACGTGCCAAGTGCCAGGACCAGCCCTGTTTTCACAGACTGCTTCCCAGTCCTCCTTCCCCGGTGTAAGCAGAGTATGATTATATTCACTCCTTATGTGCCCTCCCTCAATTTCTCAACTGCCTCCTGTTCTCCTTCATGGTTTTGTTGCATTGATATCATCATTACTGTTCAAGTTCCTGTGCAGTTCACAGCGTCCAAAGAAAAGCATCTGACCATTCTCACTGGTCTCACTTTCCACGGTCATGATTACCGATCTCCAGGACCCTTCTCGGTCCTGTGCCCACTCTCCTGCTCTCCCTGGATGAGCTCACTTCTCCTTGCATGGAGAGGTTGACGCAGGCAGCTTTCACATGCTCCTCTGCACGGTTCCGCCTGCCTGCCTCTGGCCCCGAGCGCTTGCCTGTGCAGATGAACCATGGGGGCTCCCAGTCGGTCCTGTCTCATGTCTGCACTCATCTTGTGCGTCATGGCTCCTTCCCATCACAGCACTTCTGTCTTTTACCTTCCAGGGTGCTTGCCTGACTTCTCACCTTTCTGGCCAGTTCTTCTCTGCCTCTGCAGCTGATGCCTTCTGATCTCCCAATCTCCCTGGGCCCCACGGCTTTATCTTGGGACCTTTCCCACTTATACTGTGGTTCACTCCCCCATACTTACTGGCAACTCCTGAATGTGAGACCCCTCTGCTCTGTCCTACTTAAAACCTCTCTGAACCACCTACTCAAATGTTTATAAACTCGTCTCTTAGATTTCTTTGAACCTGTCTGGTCCTGCTAAAAGATAAGTCGGAACGTGTCACTCCCCTGTTCCAGACCTATCGCCACAGTCCCCCAACTCCAGTGGCTTATATCTTAATCCAAACCAACATTCTTACCAAGACCCTGCATGATTGGCTCACTTTCTCTTTCCTGCTACTCTTAACCTTGCTGACTCTGCTCCAGGCACACATGGCTCCTTTCTGGCACGGTCCCAGGCCAGAAAGCCTACTCCTATCTCAGTGCTCTTGCACTTCTGTTCCATCTGCCTGGAATGCTCTTCCCCCCCGCTTACTCCCTCTGGACTTTATTCAGAGTTCCTCTCTGAGTGATAGCCTCCTGGCCACTTTGTCTGGATTTTTATTTCTTCCCCCTCAATATGTCACCTCTTCCTTTCCTGCTTGATGTTTTCTCCTTAGCATTCAGCACTGCCTAATGCCCTGAATATTGTACTTATTTATCTCGTTTGTTTCTGTCTCCATCATAGGAACATAAGCTCTTCATGGGCAAGTGTCGAATTTGCTCACTGCTGAATGTCCAACACTTCAAATATTTTTAGCTAAATTGTATTGAATTAAAAGAAGCATTTCACTTTTGAGTCCAGATTCTGACGAACAGGACCATGGTGTGTGCTTTTGACTACTGTTTCACTTAGGTGGTCACCTTTTGTTCAGCAAATATCATTTTATAATTTGTGGTTATTGAAATTCAAGACAATTGGGACATTTTTAAAAAATGCTTCTAAAAAGTGGTGTGTGTTGAGATTTGTAAGCAGTGTGTTTTACCATCACCCTAGACGGCTAACTGTAGCTAGATATTGAAATCCATGTTTTAAATAGACAGCTGCAGAAGGCTCTCTCTGTTTCTTCACTTTCTTTTCCACATGAACTCACGTTTTTCTGTTTCTTCAGTGTTCTTTCTGATCGGAGCTGTTTACGTGTCACAGCCGGTCCTGCGTCCCTGGACCTTGATGTCAGTGTCCAGAGGACTCTCGACAACAACCTGGCAACCGAGGCGTACGAGAGGAGAATCAAGCGCCTCGAACAGGAAAAGCTTGAGCTGAGTAGAAAGCTTCAAGGTAATATAGTTAACGATGGTATCTTCCCTTTTGGAGTTGGACTCAGAGTTTGAAGAACTATTGATTATGAGGAGTTGTTTTATCTTGAAAAGAAATTTTTGTATGAAGTGGAAAAAATCCAGTTGAAGACTCATGTGAAATATGGAATAATACTGTTTATGTAGACTCACGATGTTAACAATTCCCCCGACAGCATTCGTTTCCCCACGGGTTCCTTTGTGCACACGTGAACTCATCTGGGAAGGAGATGGAGCTGCTCTCGGGAAAGGAGCCCTTCCCATCCCAGTGTAGCGCTGGGGACCACTGTCCTATTTCGTCAGCCTTGAAAGTGCTGGCAAACTGTCCTCTGCAGCATCACTCCTGGCGTGATACTTGGTGACTATAAAATGCACTTTGGCAAACCTCCTACTGTTCTGACTTCTCTTGGTCTCTTGATTCTTACACATCCAAGGATCCTATGCTCCACCCGACCTCATCCAACTCCTGTGTTGAGACTACAGTGTCCAGAATTCTTTATTAATCTCAATTTCTGTATTTTTTTAAGTCTTTTTTCTTTGTAAGTTTTTATTTATTTATTTGTCAGAGAGAGAGACAGCGCACAAGCAGGGGGAAGCGGCAGAGGCAGAGAGAGAAGCAGATTCACCGCTGAGCAAGGAGCCCTGTGTGTGCAGGGCTCGATCCCAGACCCTGGGATCATGACCTGAGCCGAAGGCAGACGCTTAACTGACTGAGCCACCCAGGTGCCTCTAATCTCAGTTTCAAGCAAACCCTGCATCATCTCCTGTTCGTAGTAGTCTAGTTCACTCCCTCTGGTGCCTCCTGCGTTCCTTCCATTCCACTGTTACCTGCTCTGTCCCCCTCACCCTGTGCCTTGTACACTCCGTCCTTCCATGGTCAGTCATACTCCGGCCCTTACTCGGATCCTCACATCCGCTGCTCTGACTTCAGTCTGTCACACTCCATTGCCAGAACCACAGCCCTATTGACCTGCATTCCGTGTGGCTGAAGGTAACATACTTAGGACAGGCAGGGTGCTGACTGATCCCACTTGAGATTCACGAGTGTGGATCTCGAGTCCACTCCCACTGTGTGCTGCCCAGCAGTCCTGCTTCCCAGACTGGGGCTTCTCACCTGTCAGCATCTGACCCAGGTGACCATTCCCCCTCCTGACAACTCTTCTTTTGGCTTCTGGGACACTTGAATCTCCTGGTCTTCTTTTTCCTCATAAACCAGTTATTCTGTCTTTTTCCTGAGTTCTCCTGAACTCTTTGACCTGTGAATGTCAGGGTCCTCCAGAGCAGTCCAGGCTCTTAGGTGCTCAAAACTACAACTTTCCAGGCATCCTTAAGCCCTCTCCCTCTGTCACATCTCCCATTTTGCCCGTCAGCAAACCTGGGCAGCTTTGCCATCACAGAAGATCGGGAGTCCAATATCCCCATTACTGTGTGGCCATCACCCCACTCACATCACCACCACTGTCACCCGCCTTCTTGTAACCGCTTTCTAGCTGCTTTCCCTGCTTATCTCGCCCCTGCCTCCCCCACTGTTCCTTCTGTTTCTAGCCACCCTGGGCTCCCTGGCTGTTCTTTCTACAAACCAGGCACGTCCCCACCTCAGGGCCTTTGCGTCAACTATTGCCCTGCCTTAAATTTTCTTCCTTTGGCATTCACATGACTCATTCCCTTACCTCCTTCAGGTTTCTACTTGAGTGTTACCTTGAAATGAGGTTTTTCTGACCACTCTATTTAAAACCTAATCTTGGGGCGCCTGGGTGACTCAGTCATTAAGCATCTGCCTTCGGCTCAGGACATGATCCCAGGGTCCTGGGATCGGGCCCCAAGTCAGGCTCCCTGCTCTGCAGGAAGCCTGCTTCTCCCTCTCCCACTCCCCCTGCTTATGTTGCCTCTCTGTCTCTGTCAAAAAATAAATTAAAAAAAATCTAAAAATAAATAAATAAATTTAAAAAATACATCATACTCTTGTTTTATCTCCACTTAATCTCCCTCTTTCCTCTTTTATTTTCTTCAGAGTAAGGGACATAACATACAATTTATTTTACTTACTCCTTTTGTGAACAAAGGAATGTTTGTATAAATAATCAAATAGCTTGTAACTCTTGAGAGAAATAATCAAAGTTTTACAACAATAAAATTTTGCTGTTATATTTTTAGAGGCCCCATAGAGAAAAAAAAAACTACAGACATCAATAAAACAGACGGTTTTCCATTTTTCTGTAAGTTGCTATGATCTCTGCATGTGGATTCCTTCTTCTTTGTGAAGCAAGTTGTTTCTTTTGACTTTTTAATTAAATATATTTACCGTATATCATTGTATAAATTTAAGATGTACACCTTGTTAATTTGGTACATTTATATACTGTAGTAAGATTGTTGTAGTGATGGTTAGTACTTCTGGCACATACATAACTACAGGACAGCATTGTTATCTGTATTTATGACACTGTGCAGTAGATCTCTGTGACTTCTTTACTACTTGTTGCGAGTTGGTACCCTTAAACAACATCAGTCTCGTGCCCCCACTCCTACCCCATCCCCTGGTAAGCACAGTGTTACTCTGTTTTTCATGAGTTTGACATTTTTAGATCTCACATATAAGTGATGTTATGCAGTGCTTGTCTTGCTCTGTTGGACTGAGCATCGTGTGCTCCAGGTCCATCCATTCATTTTGTCACAAATGGCAGGATACTCTTTCCTTTCTCGTGGCTGAATAACATTCTGTTGTGTACATATACCCCGTCTTTTTTATCCATTCATCCATTGATAGACTTTGGTTTGTTTCCATATCTTGGTTATTGTGAATAATGTTTCAGTAAACATGGGGGTGCTTATATCTATTCAAAATCCTGCTTTCATTTCCTTTGAATATATAACCAGATGTGGCATTACTGGATCATCTGCCAGATTGGTTTTTAATTTTTTGAGGAAACTTCATAATGTTTTACATTGTGGTTGGACCAGTTTACATTCCCACCAACTGTGTACAAGGGTTCCCTTTTCACTCCATCCCTGTCAGCACCTGTTTTCTCTTGCCTTCTTCCTGATAGCCATTCTGACAGTATGAGCATTGTGACATTGTGGTTTTGATTTGCATTTCTTTGAGGTGAGTGATGTTAAGCATCTTTTCATGTGCCTGTTGGCCATTTTGAAGTACTCTTTTGAAAAGTATCTATTTAGTTCTGCCCATTTTTAAATTGGATTTTTTTTTTGTCATTAAGTTGTATGAGTTCTTCATATATTTTGAATATTAGCCCCTTATCTGATACATTGCTTGCAGAAGTATTTTGCCATTCTGTAGGTTGCCTTTTCATTTTGCTGGTTGTTTCTTTTGCTTTACAGAAAGAAGATTTTGAAAGTTTGATGTAGCCCCATTTGTTGATTTTAGCTTTTGTTGTTTGTGCTTTTGGCATCATATCCAAAATATCATTGCAAACACCAGTGTCTGGGAGCTTCTAACCTATGTGTTCTTCTCGAAGTCTTGCTATCAGGTCTTACGTTTAAGTCTTTGATCTATTTTGAGTTAATTTTTGTGAGTGGCATGAGAGAGGCCCACTTGGCATTGTTCTGCATGTATTTATCCAGTTTTCCCAGCACCATTTGTTGGACAGACTGTCCTTTCTCCATTGGGTATTTTTTGGTTCCCTTATTGAATATTAGTTGACCATATATGCCAGGATTTGATCCTGAGCTCTCTCTTTTGTTCTGCTGGTCTGTATGTCTGTTTTTGTACCAGTAACATACTGTTTTTATTACTGTAGCTTTGTAGTATAGTTTGAAAATTAGGAAGCATGATGCCACTAGCTCTGTTCTTTTTATCAGGACTGCTCTGTCTTTTCAGGGTCTTTTTTTTTAAAATTTTTGATTGTTATGTTAATCACCATACATTACATCATTAGTTTTTGATGTAGTGTTCCATGATTCATTGTTTGTGTATAACACCCAGGGCTCCATGCAGAACATGCCCTCCTTAATACCCATCACCAGGCTAACCCATCCTCACACCCCCCTCCCCTCTAGAACCCTCGGTTTGTTTTTCAGAATCCATAGTCTCTAATGATTTGTCTCCCCCTCTGATTTTCCCCCCTTCATTCTTCACCTCCTGCTATCTTCTTCTTTTTTTTTTCTAACATATATTGTATTATTTGTCTTAGAGGTACAGATCTGTGATCCAACAGTCTTGCACAATGCACAGCACTCACCATAGCACATACCCTCCCCAATGTCTATCACGCAGGCAACCCATCTCACCCACCCCCCCCCACCATTCCAGCAACTGTCTGTTTCCTGAGATTAAGAATTCCTCATATCAGTGAGGTCGTATGATACATGTCTTTCCCTGATTGACTTACTTCACTCAGCATAACATCCTCCAGATCCATCCACGTCATTGCAAATGGCAAGATTTCGTTTCTTGTGTGTTTTTTTTTGATGGCTGCATAATATTCCATTGTATATACATACCACATCTTCTTTATCCATTCATTTGTCAATGGACAACTTGGCTCTTCCACAGTTTGGCTATTGTGGACATTGCTGCTATAAACATCAGGGTGCACGTACCCCTTCGGATCCCTACATTTGTATCTTTGGGGTAAATACCCAGTAGTGCAGTTGCTGGATCGTATGGTAGCTCTATCTTCAACTCTTGGAGGAAACTCCATACTGTTTTCCAGAGTGGTTGCACCAGCTCGCATTCCCACCAACAGTGTAGGAGGGTTCCCCTTTCTCCGCATCACCGCCAACATCTGTCGTTTCCTGACTTGTTCATTTTAACCATTCTGACTGGTGTGAGGTGGTATCTCATTGAGGTTTTGATTTGGATTTCCCTGATGCCAAGTGATGTTGAGCACTTTTTCATGTGTCTGTTGGCCATTTGGATGTCTTCTTTGGAAAAATGACTGTTTGTGTCTTCTGCCCATTTCTTGATTGGATTATATGTTCTTTGGGTGTTGAGTTTGGTAAGTTCTTTATAGATTTTGGATA